GTCGATGATGTTTCCATGTGTCCAACAATACATTTCAGGCATGGGAATGGGAATTGGAATGAGTCATGCATCCATGTCTGCTATTCATAGTGCAGTTCAATTGCCAAGAGTTCCATTTGTCAATGCATCTGTAGCCCCAGTTTCCAGTGCAAACCAGGCATCATTTTTACCCTCCCCAGCTATAAGTGCAGCAAACTTTCCCAGCCAGATGCAGAACATTCATCTTCCCGAATCATATGCCCGGTACCTTGGTTTTCATAACTTTTGTGCATATGGATCGCACATGGTGCAGCATAATCAATCAGCAGCATCACCTGATACCACTCTCCCGTCTGCTGCCGGAGGACCTACAAGTATCAGGAACAACAAATCTGGTAAGTCGCAAGTGTTCAGTAATTCTTCTTTACCTGACTCTTGGTCCATATCATGAAAGACGATGTTCATCTCATGGTAATTTTGATTACCGTAAATTATGAGTCTAAAACATGGTGCAGGAAGAAATCTTCTTGGTTTACTTACTGAAACTTATTTCTTACGCAAGCAGATTAAAGGAGGAACTTCAAATCTAGAGTCTGCTCTACTCTTTATCTCGGACAATTCTTTGTGGACTTGCCGCGGAGTTGGTGCCGCAATGATACGGGGTCAGAAGATTGGAATTGACCGATCACCATGTTGCCTTCTCCTTGTTAATCCTCCTGATCACCTGCTGAAGCCAGAAATTGTTATGTATATTACAAGGGAATGAGAAATTCTGGCCTTTAGTTGAGCTAGAAACTCAAGCTAGTACAAGGTACTTGTTATCTTATTGTGCAAAATATCAATAGAATACGTATTTTTTATTCACTACGAAATAAATATCCATTATCTATTTCACCAATTGGTGATTGCTGAAAACAGTGATGTAGACATTGTGATTGCACTATTGGCTCTTCATCCATCCAGCTCCCACTCCACAATGACTCCTTGCAATCCTGTCATTATCATCAGTAGACTTTTACATCTTAGGAGCCACTGTCTAATTTTAAATGATATATTTTCTGCATTAAAGTTTACATCTGATCCTTCCGAACAATCCAACTAGATAGAGAAAAATCAAGAGATCACCTCGCTCGTTACCGACTCGGAACAAGTCTCATTCTTAAGTTCAAAGATCGATACTAATGTTTACCGTGACCGGCACACTATTCTTTTCATGAGGAATAAAATGAATTATGGGACCACTAATCTTCTGGAATGTTATCGATTACTTATGGTGATTTGTGACTGCCACCAGTGGTACAAAGATGTTCTGGTTCATGTTTTCATGAGATAATAGGACAAGGTACCCAAATTTCTTGGTAGGCATCTTATTCTACTTTGGCACAATGATTTGTATCTTTATCCTCCCCTTTGGTACCACCAAAGGGAAGCATATTGTGCCTTGAAGGATGTTATCAGGTACATGAAACCATTTCCTTGGATGTATATACTCACATGCTGCAGATAGTGATTTTGGTTTTCCTCATGAGGGGTTGGATTTATCTCTGCACCTATTTGACCATTTCTGGTTGTAGATTCTCAATGAAATCATGCATTTATGATGCTTTGTCCACATACATCTGTTTCTTTGCTCCACTCCATCAGATGAAGCTGGTCACCTCATGTTGACAAGATTTGTTTGCATGGAAGCTGAGCCTGAGGAGTGTAGCATGTTAATCCTGATGTGTTTATGTCTCAACCTAGTGAGCCACACTCTTTTCACATAGCAAGTGCCTTTGTGGAAGGAAGGAAGGAAGGAAGAGTGGGAGAATGTTTTGGAGGTCCACCACTGAGTACTCATCAAAATCATTGCAGCACCACTGGGCCAGTGGACAGCTCTTCTCCTCTTGTTTTCTTCTCTTTCATCTGATGTTGGTAGGCCTGAGATCGACTGATGCCCGTGGTAGGGCCTTGTGGAACCATGACCACAGCTCATAGCCGTAGCTCATGTCCCTTCATGCTTCTACTCTATCCACAAATTTGGATCCAGCGTTCCGATTGGCCCTCGCCGGATCTTCCTTCTCCCTTCTGCCTTCTTCCACTCCATCAATCTGCCTGCAGTGGCATGTTGGAATTCTGCTTCGGATCCGCTCCTGCCTCAGCGTTCTGCAAGCGCAGAAATTTAATCTCCTCTGTATGGGAGGTCTGCATGAACTGTTTAGTGTCTGACAAACTCGTGCTTCTGCAGAATCTTCCACGACCAAAGAACTCGGTTTATTGTATGTGAATGAAGGAAGGGATGATGATAGATTACGGTCGATTACAGTCGCTTTCAGTCGACATCCCGGAAGATTGGAATTGAATCCAATCCTGCATCACTTACGGATGTTGGATTACTGCAATCTCCCTGGTGCATTCATCTTCTCTGCATTCTGTACTGACACAAGGGACCACCGAGGCATCGCAGTATTATCCTCGCATTTATTTATGAATTGAGGAAACAAGCTGATCGATCACATGATCATGACAGGCAATAGCGTCATGTGATCTAAATGCTTGCATTTCAAATTAAAGTAGGTTGCAGAGGATGGATTCGTTCATGATAGATTTGTACTGCGAAAATAGCAGCTCTGTTGTTGGGTCTCAGCCTCTGGCAGATCTTGAGCTGCTTTGGGACCTCCCCTTTTCTCGCAGGGACATGATCGAGATGTTCACCTGGGGCTCTGAGTTCAGCAAATTCTCATGCATGGCATCACGGTGAATACATAGAGGATAGAGAAGAATGTAAAGAGTAAAGAGGTCAGCTAAAGTAAGATCCACACAGAGAATTTTCACAGGTATCTGAAACGAGGAAGATGTTTGGTTGTGTCGATAGATGCAGAACAGAACATCGTGTTCTTTCTTCCTTCTCTACTCGGATAATTCTCCTTTCCGAAGCTGCAGATGAGCACAGAAAAGACGAGTTCATGTTCATCTGGTATTATCATGAGCAGGTTGCTCATGCCGGTGTCGCGCGCGCGCGCCCGCCGCATTGCGACAACACAAAAGTCAGAGCTTTCCTGGCACTGCTCTGCGCATCACAGTTGTGCAGTGCCGACTTGCAACTCGAGCAAACTGCTCTCACATGGCTTCACATCTCGAATGCTGCTGCTTATTGCAGCATTGGGTCCCCGAGTTCACCAAATTATTGTGCCAGATCATATTGCATGTCATTGTATCCGAATCAGAAACATCATCATCCATCTTCCATCGGTCAAACTCCTCTATTTACAAAGTATTCGATGCAGTGTGTTCTTGTTTTGTTCTCTCTTTCTAAGGAGAGGAGGACAATGAAATAGATGGCGTATCATCAAAACTGTAGAATGACATTCCATCGATTTTGATCACTCGTTACTCGGGCAAACATCCATTACGGATAAATATAAATCTGAAACTTAACCCAAGGATTTGCAAGCAATAGCAAGAACAGTTTTATCTTGGAAAAGATACTGAGATTTACACTGCCATGGAGAAGAAGACGAGCTCACCGTGCTGCTAGCTTTTCATTCATTACAAGATAAAAAGCTAGCAAACAAGCATCAAGTAAGTGTGTGTGGCAACAGTGCTGAGACTTCCCGACCCGACTACGGCATCAACCACCATTTCATGATCACATTGCAGTAAAACTGAACCCCAAGAAGAAGAAGAAGAAGAAGAAGAAGAAGAAGAAACATGTGAGGAGCTGCTATCTTCTGGGTGAGTGTGGGTGGCAGCTTCGAGGATTGAGGGGGTGAAGGAACAGCAGAGAAGGTTAATAATAATATTATTATATATATATGTGTATGAATTATATGATATATAGGGAAGCATATGGTGGGAAATGGTTGAGGGATTTGACCAAGAAAGTGACAAGAGTTTGGAGGTAGCTGAAGCGTTTTGCAGGTTAGTGTACGTGATGACTTTGAACAAGAGTCCGTGCAACGTTGCCAGAGTCGAAGAAGAGAGAGAGAGAGAGAGAGAGATGGTAATGTGGTAGTTTCTATCGGCAATGGGTCTGAATAATATATAAAAGAGTGAAATTTAAATATTTGCACCATATCGAAGTAAGCAACCATAACATATCATATATGTTTGGAACAAAATTTGTTTTAAGAGATTTAAAAAAGTATTATCGCGTTGAAAGATTCAATACATATATCGTTTCTCAATGTATTTCTTTAGAAATTTCTTTTTTCACACTTTCCGAATGATAAATATTTCTCATATTCGAGTCATAATAATATTTTTCATCTATAGTTTTAAGACTATAGTTGCACAATTGCACCCTCGCATGTCGATCGGTGAAAATTTAGCCTCTTAGTGGCCTCTTATGCGATAAAAAAAAAAATTTGACTATTTTAGAAATGATCCAATTATAATTCCATAAGTTTTGAACGGTTATATGATAAAAACTTTTGAAATGATTCGTTCGTTTGGTTCCGCAATGGTGTCATAGTGAACTTTTGTATGTGGTTAATCGATTTTCTTTTTATGAATTATAATAATATTATTTTCTAAGATAGAAGATAAGAATTTTTATTAATTATTAGAAAAATTAAACAAAAAATAATAGTTTTTCTTAACTCTCTTGATAATGATCTTTTTTTTTTTTCTATCAATTACAAGGAAGAATACGAAGGAAATGATATAATATCTCCTATTGTTTTCATTCTTAGAAAACAATAGGAGATATTATATCTCTCTCTCTCTCTCTCTAGTTTTCAATCTTAGAAACAATCTTTCATGTTCTAGCATAGCTTGACGGAGTCAGATCAAATCAATTATAATGGGCAATAGAAAGCATTTAAACGCTTCGAAGTTTGGTAACTGATGAAATCATCTTATCAATGTTAAACTGTTTAAACACTTCAAACTAATGTTTTGGGTATCAATCTATCACATTGTTAGTACAGCACAAAAGCAACAAAATTCAGCCACTTTGAGTTGCACCTCAAAACTCCTCTGCCCAAAGGCATTACAAATTTTCCATGAGCCCAAACAAATCTAGAAACACTTCTCCACACTAAGCCAAAATGTCTGTTTTGCAAGCAAACAGTTAGTATCTGATCCAGTTCAGAAAGTTTGACACCAAGTTCATGAATTTACAGTAACTGAGAAACATTGTTCTCATATGGTATGCATGTTATTACAAGTCCTTTGCTCCAACACTAAAAACCATGAGAACGATGCTGGTAAATTGGCAGGGTCGATACTACAGCATTAACCTTAAAAGAATAGAGACACCTAGTTTTCGATAAAAAAACATTTGATGACTTCAAGCAAACTTTGCATACACTGCGAGAACAGTATTTGGCTATATTAGATGCGTCGCAGAGATGCCAACCTCTTCTCGAGATCATCGACTTGAGAACTCTCTGGAGCTACATTCCTGCAATTACAGGTTTATATGAATGAGATGCATTTTGGCAGAAGTTATCATAATTACATGACAATACAGCACATAGACAATCCTTCTTTTTCTAGCTACTCAGTGGGTTTGCTATATGCATCGCATAGTCGGCATGAAGCAGAACTACTCTGACTTGCTTGCACAAATTATATCCAACATCAAAAATACTTACTACAAGAACAAGCAGTGACTAAAGGGCGCAAATAAGATAGCTTTTCTTCAAGAAGAAAACTAATGGGAATACTCATGGCTTGTCATTCACATGACCTGAATTCCACATGCAACTGGTGCTAATTAACATTTCGTACCTTGAGGCAGTATCAACTTTCTTATTGTTGACAGCAATCCGCCCTTTGGGAGCTGAAGATAGCTGAAAAAGGACAAACGAAAACAAACTTAAACGTAGGAAGAAAACAATATATGGATATCTAAAATAGCACACCAAATAGGTATGCAAAATGTGTTGTTACCTGTGAGGCAACATCAACACCAATTTCATCAAGCACCTAAAATAAATCACAAAAAATAAGATTAAAACTAATTCATGCAAAATGCACCAAAGGAAATCTGGAGCCAAAATAAAGTAGTTTTGCTTGCTTCGGAAATGGTTCATTCTCAATTCTAATTGAGTTGCCAAAGCTACAATTATCTTACCTGGTTCGTGAGTTCTTCTGTTTCCTCCTCTGCCTCATCTTTATCCAATGTTTCATCGATGGCCTCTGACATCATCTCAATCTGCACAAATTGTAGCATAAGTATAGTGCTTAACACGCTCAAACACACACTTCCTCACATGGATGCACAGAAGAGAAACGGGGCTAGAGAGAGACTACAGATATCTAGGCAAGAAATGTATTTAATTGTAAGGAGTTTGCCTATAATAGGTTTTCATTTAATAACATAAGTTCATGAATTTCTAGATAACTAATCAATCAATCTTCAATTGCACCATATCCTGATAAAAAGATGTCCATCCAAGAAGCAGATTTGAGTGTTGTGAAATCCTTTGCAAGAATAATCCAAACTTTCATTTGAAACAAAGAGTTATTCCCATGGGTTCCAGATATGAGTAATTCCAAACTAAGAGATATATCAACCTTCAACTACTGTCTTGTAATGGGTCACACAAATTTGATTTAGGTCTAGCAAAAAATCTCAAGTAGGTCAAAGATGACAATAAACAAAAAGGGGAACTCATGAGTATTAGCAATCAATCCCTTACTGTTATATTATTGAAAAGGTACTGGTATATATATCATAAGCTATTTTTATCAAACATCTCTAGCCACATTTTATACCCATTTTGATAATCAATTACCAACAGTTGTCTTCAATATCATTTCCCATCTCATTTCAGGACCAAATGGGTTCGCTAGAATCCACTACATACAGGAAATCAGACATCAATCCTAATCAGTCAGTGGTAAAGAAATTAAAATGCATTTTTATTTTACACTACTTATAGCTTGTTGCGTATTGTTTAAAAAGGATCGTTTTGGCCTATAAAAAACAAGGGCTTCGTAGAATAATAACTTTTTGGGTTACTTGATCTTAGAAGTTCTTATAAATCAAGCAAAATTCTAAGAATATCGTTTCTTGAGAAGCTACTAAGATTGGAGTTTGGATTATGGTTGGAGAAAATCATCAGGGACATCAGCAGATATTATACCCTATATGCCAGGTAGGTCTTATACAACAAAATAATGCCTGTCAGGCAACAGTCTCCTTCGATCTAAGCTACCTTAGCAAATATGACATTTCTGAAAACTATCATTTCAAGCTCCTTTCATGTAGAAGTTCATAGACCCACCACATTTTAGCAATCGCATTGCACGACGGATGTAATCTACTAAAGTTACAAGCTAACCCAACAAGTGTATTGCTTTTGCCATGAATCCAACAAATTTATTCAAGAAAATTTTCAACTATTACAAGACTAAAGTTGATGAAGTTTGCATCCATTACGAGACCAAAGTTTCAAATTTTCATCTTCCTTCATGTTGTTACTCCCTATTCATCTTTGGAGGATCTTCGTCATGTTTGGACGCTCACACAAGAACCAACAAAGTTCATTCCACCAACAATAACACCAAACATATGGCTAACAACATTGGTACGTGAGACTAAAATTTCATTAAGATAGTCCCATCAAATCACTAAGATAGGAGTCCATGTCCAAATCACCCCAGATGTTAGGCACTTATAAATTGTTCCCTGAGTCCCTCAAACAAGCAATGGGACAGATTAACTAACACAGTACGTTCATATTTTAAAGAGAAAAGTGTGACCATAATTACCAACAAAAATAGAGATAAATCCAATTGAAGAGATTCTAGAAAAAGAATGAACCAATTCAGGATTCACATGCTCTATGCAGACAAATTTTCAATGAATTTAAAAGTTAAATAAGAAGTCAAATTCATACAGAGAATTTTTTTTAAAGAAGTCAACAGCACTGTTCTTCAAGCTGCTGCTGTAATGTGGTCTAGTTTTGAGTAGATACATAATTTCCGACAATTTAACATGTCAGATATTTCATCTAGTATTAGAGAGAGCAAGCACGATGAGAAGCATTGCCAAAAGTAAATCAAAAGAGTGAGGGTAAGCGTTAGTGTCACACATTACTCTTTTCGGGTAGCTAGGTCATATAAATGGTATCTCTATTTATAAATGTAAGGTTGCATATATTAATACTTTCTAGAACTTATATTGGCAGGAGCTTCATGCACTATGCCACCCTTTCTTAGAAAAGTATTTAAAACTATCGGGTGACTTTATGTAGAATTGAAAAATCTATCGAAGTGGTTAAAATTATGAATCAGTGTGTTACCGTCATATCCATTTGTGATGATTGCTTCTGGAATTCTTTCATCACTTTCAACTGCTTCGCTGGTTCCATTTGCTGAAACATGTAAATCACAAATCAGAATGTAAGCATGTAAATGACTCAACATCTAGCTAATAGATTTTCCATTGTTGAAATAAGCACCCAAAATATTAACAGTAAACTTCCACCAGACCTTGTTCATAGCAGCCATTGCCTTGCTTGCACCTTTCATTCCTGTGGATATTGAAGTGTTTGCATACATTGCCTGCAAAAAAGCCCAATGCCAATTTTTCTCCACATGTTGAGACATCTTTGAAGACACTGGCGGTTCATAACTAAATCTAGTAACTAGAAGTTCTGACCTGGGTGTGGGTTGCTATGCCTCTTATTTGTGCACGAGTTCCCTGCAAGTTTGTAATTTGCTGCCTCAGACGAACAAGCTGACGAGCTAAGATCCGGGTGGCAGCCTACAAGGGTAAACATACCAAATAAAGTTGTCCATTATCCCTCCTGTGCAGAATAGTATCATGATGACAGAACCGTATGAATGAAGTAGATGTTCCAATAATATCAAGAATACTGCTTGAACAAAGAAAGTCATAATAAGACTGTATGAACAACAATGAGAAAACCTCATTCCCAGTTTGTGCAGTCTTCTTGATCTCTGCAACCAGTTTTTTCTCCTATGATGATTATTTTGTAAACAGGATTAGACAGCCAAAAAGATGCACAAGATTTAATGCAAGAGGACAGCATAGACGAAAAACAAACCTCTAACTGCAGGGAAGCAATCTCACGCTCCACACCTGAAGCCGAGATAGGAAGATCATAGTCACTCAAAATAATGACATAATTTATTCTTTGTAAATGTACTCTCTAGAATATTAATATAATGCTTGATCTATAATTAGCTATTGATGCTTAATTACTGCCTGAATTTGGACAAGGAAAACGAAACAGATCAAATCACAAATTAACATACAAGTCCGATCTTTTCATCATTTTGTGGACAAATATATAAAAGCACTCCTGAAGAGAGTAAAACCCTAAGCATCCACAAGACGAGATTCTACCTCTTGTGGCGACAGCCATTTCTCTTTTGCTCGTCCTGAGAGCATCTGCGCGGTGAAGCACAACTATCAGATTCAAAGAGGAAGGCTCAAAATATCGTATGAATGGGATCATAAAAGAAAAAATAGAAGGAAACAAAACCCTAAATGGCAAACTTCGACCAAGAAATTCGCTGGAGCATGTACCCAAAAGAAATCAAGAAAAACTTAAAAGGGAAAAGAATGCGGATCACAAATTCCTTCCTTTCTTGAGGAAAAGAAAACATCTTAAGCATCGGAACCGGACATTAATCGAGAAAATACACGGCTAGCAACCAAATCCAACGCGGCGACGACAAATGCAGATGAAAAGAGAAGATTTTTTCCTCGCCTTTAGGGGAGGTCTTCTTCTTGAAGATGTTCATGATGCGTTCTCTTCGCCCGAGCAAAAAATGATCGAGGGAAAGGAGAGCAGAGATCGCGAACGAAAGGCAAGGACCCCTAGATCGGAAGTGGGAGGCGGCTAGGGTTCTTGGCGTCTGGCGATGGAGCGGCCTCTCGCTCGCCCTCACTCACAGACAGCGGCGGCAGCAAGCAGCACAGGTTCGGTGTTTCGTTCTTTGTTTTCCCTTTTTCTTCTTCTTCTTTGAGAAATAATTATCGATCCACCCGTTGAACATCCACCGGCCTCGCCTACACGAGGAGTAATGTGGGGTCGATGCAGGAGCCTCCCCGGGGTAAGAAAGCGGGTGTGAATCGCACGTCTGTTTAGGATTCCCTTTCGGTGCGTGAATCTATCCAACGGTTCGTAAACTTCGAATTTATTACTTTCTTCTTTGACAAATTATATAAAATATTAGAAACATAATCTAAAAAAAAAGAGTAATTCTTACCGCAATGCCATATATACGAAGAACTTAATATTTAAACAAAAATCTAAAAATTTATGGATATATATGTCATATTTATTTTGTAAGATATTATATATCATTTAATTAAAATATCAATAACGAAGTAAATTAGATCCAATTCAAGGTCTGAGTAATAAACTTAAGTTCGATCAAGATTGAATTGGGTCCAATTAATTAGATAAAGAATTATGAATGGGCTTTTTTTTGGGCCGATGGAGCCATGCATGCGCCCGGTCCCACATATATGGACCACGTCATCGCCCAAGTCATGGGTCAAAGTTGGTGACGTGGTGACACATAGCCCTGGCAACGAATAATGTCACGGCTGATTAATCCGCTCCGTTTTTGACGTGGCATGACATCGCCGTGATCCGACGGTATGTCGTGGACCGAGTCTTTCACGGTACCCGTTTGATTTACCCCTGCGGTAACTGGAAAGAGAAACGAGGGGGCCGCTTTGGGACCCTCGTAAAAGTAGCTTATTGCTGCTGCCTCTGAGGTCGGTGGAGCGAGCAAGTAAATCTACCCGAAGAATTAGAATCATACCCGAGGAATTAGGGCTTGGTTCGTGGTCTCGTTTGCTTCCGCTTATTGAAGGATTAGGGTTTCTTCCAGGAAGACCAGTCCCGAGAAGGGAAGCGTAGAGAAGTCCTCTCGCCATGGGCGACGAGTACGAGGGGCTGGAACGGTTCGGAATGGAGAATGACTACGAGGGCGGTGAGTGGATCGGCGGCGAGTTCTACTATCGCCGGAAGAAGGAGCGCCCCGTCCAGACCCGAGACGACGTCATCTACGGTGCCTTCGCCGCCGGATCCAGCGACTCCGATTCCGACGGTGGCGGAGGCCGCCGTTCCCGGAAGCGCCGCAAGGGGGACCTCGTCTCCAAGCCCGACCTCTCCAAGCCCGTACGCTTCGTCTCTACCGGTACCGTCATGCCCAACCAGGAAATCGATCGGGATCTCAAGGAGGAGGGTAACCGTGCCGCCGAGGCTCCTGATCTTAGCCAGGGGCTGGGATATGGCTTAGGGTTCCGGGCCGACAAAAAGGAGCCCGAGGGCGATGAGGATGAGGACGAGGATAGCTTCCTCCCGACGGCCTTTGGGAGGAAAATCAAGGAAGGGGCGCAGCGACGGGAGAAGGAGAAGGAGTGGGAGAGAGAGAAATCGAAGACGGCCAAGAAACCCCTTGGGAAAAGGGACGTTTCAGGTGCGGACGAGATTGGGAAGTTCCAGTCTTACACGAAGGGCATAGGATTTAAGCTCATGAAGATGATGGGGTACAAGGAAGGATCTGGATTGGGGAAGAATGAGCAAGGTATTGTTGCCCCAATTGAGGCGAAGCTCCGTCCAAAGAACATGGGAATGGGGTTCAATGACTACAAAGAAGCCAAATTGCCAGCCCTGGACGAGCCACTGCAGGAGAAGGCGGCCTCCTCAGTACTGCCCGGACGTTCAAAGGAAAAGAGGTGGTTGAAGCAGAAACAAGGGAAGAAGAAAGTTGAAATTTTGACAGCGGATGAGCTGCTTGCCAAGAAGCAGGAACAAGGTATCGAGGTTGTCCAGAAGGTTCTTGATATGAGGGGACCACAAGTTAAGGTTTTGATGAGTCTGGAGAATTTGAATGCCGAGGACGAGATGAAAGAGAATGAGGTGCCCATGCCTGAGCTCCAGTATAATGTGAGGCTAATTGTGGACTCTACCGAGGTTGACATACAAAAGCTTGATCGGGATTTGAGGAGGGAGAGGGAGAAGGTGGTTAGCTTGCAGATGGAGAAAGAGAAGATTTTGAAGGAAGAGATGAGACAGAGGCAGCAGCTACAAGTGATGGAGACGATTGCTAGAGTATTAGAAAGGGTGAAAGATGATAACTTGTCAGGGGTGCTGACACTTGATTCACTGTTGGCTACATTCAGAGACATTAAAGAGAGGTTCAGGGAGGACTACAAGCTCTGCAACATCTCTTGTGTTGCCTGTGCATTTGCATACCCCTTACTGCTCCGTGTTTTTCAAGGATGGGAGCCATTGCAGAATCCCTTGCATGGCATGAGTCTTATATCATCTTGGAGGGACTTGTTGCAAGGGGATCAACCTCATGATTTCTCCGAAAATATTTCGACTGCTTCTCCTTATGCTCAGCTGGTCAGCGAGGTTATTCTCCCTGCAGTGAGGATATCGGGGACTAACACATGGCAGGCTAGGGATCCAGAGCCAATGCTTCGATTTTTGGAAGCATGGGAAAGGTTACTGCCTCCGGTGGTTCTGCAGTCAGTTTTGGAGAATGTGGTTATGCCAAAGCTAACGGCCGCTGTTGAGACATGGGATCCACGTCGAGAGACTGTTCCGATTCATGTTTGGGTTCACCCATGGCTCCCCTTGCTAGGACAGAGATTGGAGACCTTATACCAAACAATTCACTACAAGCTAGGTAGTGTTCTTCATGTTTGGCATGCAAGTGATGCATCAGCTTATGCTGTACTTTCTCCATGGAAGGATGTTTTTGATGCAGCTAGTTGGGAGGATCTGATGGTGCGGTATATTGTTCCAAAGTTAAGGATTTCTCTGCAGGAATTTCAAGTGAACCCAGCTAATCAGAATTTAGATCAGTTTAATTGGGTGATGATGTGGGCATCTGTGATCCCAATTCACCATATGGTTCACATGTTGGAGGTTGATTTCTTCAGCAAGTGGCAGCAAGTGTTATATCATTGGCTGTGCTCAAATCCTAACTACAATGAAGTTATGCAGTGGTATATGGGTTGGAAGGGCCTCTTCCCAGCAGAACTACTAGCCAATGAGCGGATTCGAATGCTCCTAAGTGCAGGTTTGGATATGATGAACCAGGCTGTAGAAGGCATGGAAGTGGTGCAACCTGGTGCTAGAGAGAATGTCAGCTATCTAAGAGCTACAGAAAAGCGACAGTTTGAAGCACAGCAGCAGACAGCGGCTTATTCATCAGTCCATGTAAATGGTATGGCCAGTGTGCATGAAATGAGCTTTAAGGAATCTATTGAGGCTTATGCAATGGAGCAAGGCCTCCTCTTCTTACCCAAAGTTGGTAGATCTTATAATGGTCTCCCTGTATATGGCTTTGGCAATGTAAGCATTTGTATAGACTCAGTGAAGCAACTGCTTTATGCACAAGTCCAGGAGGGAACTGAGAGATGGAGTGCTGTATCGCTCACACAGTTGCTGGAGATGCATCAGAATGCCGCTCGTCGTTGAATGTACTCCCTTACAATCCTGATGCTTTAATGTCTTTTGATGAGTTGATGTAATGTAGTTAAATGGATGAAGCTGATGATGTTGTTGCTTATTCATTCTTTTTGGATTCTTGACTGAATTAGTTTAGCTGTCATTCTTATATTACCTTGAATATATGCCAAATGAATTTAACTGGAAATTGATTCATCCTTGTGCTAAATAATTACATGCTCCTTGATGATTGTACTCATTGTTCATGTACAGCTTCATTATTTCTCTGTTCCCTAAATTATTCTTGGTTTTTTAAGATTTGATTAAAACTTAAGTACGGGGGACATTAAGGCTTGTTTTTGTTGTTGCTGTTGTTGCTAAAACCTAAGTTTGAAATCCTCTTAAATTACCACTATCTTATTTTTTCATCCCCACCATTGGTTATTGTATCTTAATAAATCAGAAAATGGGAAATTTATTGGTGCTCAAGTGGTTCTATTCAGGGAACATTGTTTTGCACAGTGGATCCATTACCGATACACCGACACATGATACATCGGTTCGTCCGGTGTTTCGAATATGAAGAAGGAGAAAAGGATGGGGCGATGGAGGAAGAGGCGGAAGAAAATGGAGGAAGAGGAGGGAAGAGGAAGAAAGAAGAGGAGGTGGAGGAAGAGGATGGGGAAGTGGAAGGAAAAGAAGAGGTGATGGAGGAAAAGGAAGAAGGAGAGACGGTAGCGGAGGTTGTGGAGGAAGAAGGAAGAATAGGAGGAGAAGAGGATAAGGAATATTGCTTGGTGAGGCATGACAGGCAACAACGGGCTATTGCATGGGGCAAAACGCTAAGGGCTGGTGTTTGGGGCCAAGAGGGTTAGCGTTTGCGAGCCTAAAGTATCCCTAAAGTATGCTTTTTATTTTTTTTATGATTCGGATACTTGAGTGGGGATGGTCCTGTCCAGACTAGTACGTACTGCTCATTTTGTCTGGTTGGGTAAAACATCAAACTGTGTCTAACCTTGACTCATATTTGGAGTTTCTTGTTACTGTCTTACGATGATTTCTATTTACATTTGTTTATAAGTGGAGATAGTTTGAGGAAACTCTTTAGTAATATGTTTATATGAAAAGTTTGGAAGGATTAATCAAATTGTTGTTCTATCTACTTTCACTTCTTCCTTTTATGTTTTATTCCAGTGATTTCAATAGGTGCTCGGGCTCTCACTTAGGTGCTTGGGCGAGGCGAGGTGAGGCCCGAGCGCCTCGCTTCACTTCCAAGCAGCGCGCTTCAAAGAGGCGCCGTTTAGGCGCTCGCCCGAAGCACCCGACGCCTAGGTTAAACTAAGCGACCGAACCAGCGTTTTAGGTCTGGTTCGGTCTCCGATGCTTTAGTTGGTTCAATCGAACCAACTAAAGCACCGATATCAACTGTCACTGCCCAACCCTAACCCTACTCACGTTCACGCTACTATTGTTGTTGCTCGTTGCCGCTCACCGCTCCCGCTCCTACTCCCGCTGCTCGTTGTTGCCACTGTCGTCGCTCTCGCTGCCGTTGCTCACTTTTACCGCTGTCGCTGCACCATCGGTCTTCCCTTACACTCCTCTTCCTTCTCCTCTTTCGAAAGTATACTGTTAATAGTATACTAGTAATAGTAATGTATTTGTATTTATTAGATTAATAATATATTATTTTGATTTTAATACTGTTAATTTTTATTTATTTGAAATTATTGTTAGGTTTCAAGATAAATGGCAAGTGTACAGAGTAACTCAATAGAGTCTTCAATGGCATAAAAAAAAATCCTACATGGAAGTATAATTATATGAAGGATCCGAAAGATCCTAATGCAATGACTTGCATATTCTGCGATAAGATTGCTAGAAGTGGTATTTTTCGTGCAAAACATCTAGTAGGAAATTTCAAGAATGCAGCAGCTTACAAAAAATGTCCACCTGAGGTAAAAGAAGAGTTGCTGAGTTTTATGAACGAAAAGAAGACACAAAAGAATGAATCTTACGCGAATTTACCAGAAGACAATGGTGAACATCTTAGAGATGAAGAAGAAGATTATTCTATGAGTATTAACCCAAGTGGGAAAAAAGCAAGGTCCGTCATACCGTACCGTACCGGAGTTTCGACCCGGGCTCGGTACGGTACAGCACCGGTATACCGGGCGGTACACCCTGGTGTATCGATACTGTAGCAGTGTTACAGTGTAGCACTGTAGCACTGTAGCGGTACAGGGTGGTCCCCGTACCGAGTACCTGGCGGACCAGTACGTACCGCCCGGTACGGCCGGTACGCTTCGGTACGGCAGACACTGGAAAAAAGTATACGACAAAAAAGGAAAAGAAGTTATGAGTACTAAGAAGGGTTAAAGAGAACCGATGGATCTATATATGTTTCAAGGATCCCAGAAGCAACAAGGGCAAGTAGAAGGCTCAAAATTTAGACAAACAAATATAAGTGATGCTTATGATAAAGAAATAAAAGGAAGAACAATTCAGCACATTGCTCACTTCTTCTATCAGGTTAGTCTTCCCCTTAGTACAACTCGTTTAGATAGTTTTCAGGATATGATTGAAGCTATTGGAAGATATGGTGCGGGATTAAAACCTTCAAGTTATTATGAGATGCAAGTTCCATTGTTGCAAAAAGAGTTGAATTATACAAATGACTTACTAAAGGGTCATAAAGAATCATGGGCAACACATGATTGCTCTATTATGTCAGATGTTTTGACTGACAGGAGGCACAGGAGTATAATTAATTTTATGGTTAATTGTTCTTTGGGGATTATGTTTGTGAAGTCAATAGATGCTTCATCTTTTGTAAAATCTGGAGACAAGATATATGATTTACTTGACAACTTCATGGAAGAAATTAGAGAACAAAATGTTGTTCAAATCATAACCGACAATAGAAGTAACTATGTATTAGCTGGTAATATTCATCTTTTGAATTTTTAATTATTTTATCTTCAATTAAATGTGTTAAACTCTTTAAGTCTTATCATTTTTGTTATCCTTTGTCTCAGGTAAATTGCTTGAAACAAAAAGACAACACTTATATTGCACTTCATGTGCAGCACATTGTATTGATTTAATGTTGGAGGATATTGGAAAGATCTTATACATCAAGAGAACCCTAGAAAGGGTAATTTTTGTTGTTGGATTTTTTTATAATCATATTGGGGTTTTGAATATGGTAAGAGAATTTACCGGGAACAAAAAATTAGTGAGATATGGTGTCACTCGATTTGCTACTTCATTCTTGACATTACAGAGCGTGCATCGTCAAAAACATAATTTGCGAAACATGTTTACCTCTGAGAAATGGGTGACAAGCAAATGGGCAAAAGAAGCAAAAGGCAAGAGAGCTACTGATATCATCTTAATGTCATCCTTTTGGAATCATGTAGTTTATACATTAAAGGTAATGAGCCCTCTTGTTCGAGTCCTTCGGTTGGTGGATAATGAAAATAAACCTGCAATGAGATATATTTATGAGGCTATGGATAGAACAAAGGAGACAATTAAAAGGTCTTTTAATGAAAATGAAGAAAAATATGAGAAAATTTTTACAATCATTGATGAAAGATAGAATTATCAACTTCATCGTCCCTTACATACAGTAGGATATTATTTGAACCCTGAATTCTTTTATAAGATTAAATCTGCTGGGTTTGATGCAGAAGTTTTGGATGGGTTATATCAGTGTGTTGCAAGATTAGTTCCCAGCCTTGAGGTTCAAGGTAAGATTAGTTCCCAGCCTTGAGGTTCCCAGCCTTTGGATTGGTAAGATTTTTTTGGAATTCCAATGGTTGTTCGATCCAGGACAACTACGTCTCCAGGTATTAATAATTTGATTTAATTAATTTTTTATATATTATGTTATTATGTTATTGCCAATAATTACATAAATTTGCAGTTGAATGGAGTCTATTTGAAAATTTCATCATGAACTTACAGTAATTTGCTATCAAAGTACTTAGTTTGTCATGTAGTGCTTCGGGTTGTGAGCGAAACTGGAGTGGCTTTGAGCATGTAAGGATCACTAAATATTTTTATTTTAATTTATTTATTTATTTAGATAGATGTATTAATATATTTTTTAAATTATATGACATGACAGATATTGATGACAGATATTTTTAAATATATTTTTAAATTATATGACATGACAGATATTTTTAAATTATATTTTTAAATTATATGATATGACAGATATTTTTAAACTCATTGCAAGATATTGATGATTCAAATGAGTGGTTGGTAGGAGAAATGGGTGCTAACTTGCAAGATGCCGAAGACGAGCTTGTATTTGAAGATGATAGATTGACATGGGGAGATGTGACAATAGTTTCAGGTGCTGGAGAATTACAAACATATACAAGACATATGACAAAGAGAAAAATGAGTGCAAAAGCATCAAGCTCGGCTCCTGCTATTGTAAAAGACATAGAGAATAAAACATATTTTGATGAAGATGAAGGAGTCAAAGGACAAGAGGAAGAGGACGAATTCAATGAAAATGATTTGTGTGAAAATGACGATAATATTTATTATGATGAATGACTTTGATGTAAAATTTTATTGTTTTGAATTTTGAAATTTTTTATTAATGTGACATTGTGATTTTGTATCTTAGATTTTCTTAATTTAATAGTATATTTTTTATTTAAAATTTTAAATGATTATATTTATTAATTATATTATATATTTTTATATTTTAGCGTCTCGCTTCGCTCGGGCGAGCGCCTAGCAACTCGGGCGTTTTTGGACTTTGACGCTTTTTGGCACATAGCGCTTTTTAAATCACTGTTTTATTCATTGGAAGCAAAGGAATGGAATGAAACTGCTGCAATTGTAAGTTTCAACAATAAATCTATTAAGCTCATGTAATTTGTGTAACTTTAATTATAAATAAGGTCTAGTAAAAGTGAAGGGTTTAATTCATTTACATGACTTGGTAGCTGCTGGGCTATGGGTAGTTGCTGGATATACCACTGTTCTAAATTAAATAACTGTGATGTCAGTCTGATTTCGGTGCTAGCTGCCATGCTTGACTTTTTCTATCTTCCTGTAGAATAAGTGTTGCAATAAGGTCTGACTTGTATGCTTCTACATGCATCAATTTGCTGCCTCTTGTGAATATGTTGCCACTCAATTGTTTACAGAATGTGTTATATTTTAGGGAACACTGTAATTGGTTTTAGGATTTTCAAGGGTCATTTGGAAATCTGATGGTTGTTTGAGCCATGAAGTACATATTAGAATTTATCTTGACAGGGTATAAATTGACATTCTACATGATGCAAGTAAATGAGGCTTTATTATCGTGTGTCTTAAAAATAAATTTTACTGAGGAGAATCAGGAATCCTATTATTTTGGTGTTCTCCATTACTGTCAACCTATGGTGGTTAATGCACTCTTTGTCTTGATTAATTTCTGAAGAATACGAAGTCTCATGGTAGGTTTCTCTTCTGTCTCAGCAATGTCATTCTTCTCACCCCCACATTGCCTGCATTAAACTAGCAGTAGGCCATGGCAGTGAGAAGAAGGGGAGGATCTTATGGCAGATACACTTTGTGTTGTTTTAGCCTCACCTTGGTTCCCCACTTTGACAACCTTGACATCCTTCATCGCTGTCCATGTCTGCTTTCCATCATCATCAGCAAGGGCAAGGTGCACAAGACCTGCATAACTTTAGTTGCCCATCACAAGAAAGATGCATCCTCAAAGCATGTTGTCTTATTTCACTCAAATATTTTGACCTGCAGCAAGTGAGATCCTCAGTACTAGGAAGAATTCTTACTGCCGACACCTGTGAGTTAAACAAATTATGCAGGTAATGGACTTTCTCTCAGGTAGGGAGCGATCTATTTATTTATTATAGCTTTTATTCCACATTGCTACGTCAATGTATGGCTGATTTTGGTTTGTGCATCCTAATCATTTCATATATTTCTTTTGTAGTTTAAATCTTATAAATTGTGTTCTATGTTGAATTATGAGAACCTTTTATAGTCGTTATTGGCTGATGCTATGTTCAATTTTTTGCAAGACAGCTATTGGAAACTTCGTTAATAAATCTGGATAAGATCTGTGGGGAAGCAAATATCAAGTTGGTCATTCCACGCTCTTATGGTCTTACAGGTATGGTTAGAATAAGCATCAAGGTAACCAAAAAAGTATATAGATGGTTATAGATCTTGCTTCCTTTTCTAAGTCTCCATACATCTGTTTCTCATTCACACAAGTAATTTTATTGGATGCCCATGTGAGTTCTCCTTTTAACATTGATAGGAGCACATCATAATTGAGATAAAACCTGATCATTTTCTAGACGACCTTTGAATTCACAATCCTGGTCTGAGCTCATAGAGTGAGTATTTTATGTCATTTTTTAAAAAATATTAAAATAACAAACACGGTTGACTTATTATTGTATTTAAGTTTCTTTATTTTTCACTTGTAATGATTTCGAGACCTTACCTTACTCTCTGTTTGATTTGAGCTCTGGTGATAAACATTAATAACCCTTATGTATTCTTATTATTGTATAATTTTAAGGGTTCTGAAAAACAATTGACTTAAGTGTCATAGATCCAGTTATACACAAACATAAGACATATATAGTTATTCTTATTAACCTCGCAGAAAACAATGAGCCAAAGAATATGTTGGATGCTTGCTATCTAAAAGAAAGACTTTTAAGGGGCAGGATTTGATTTCTGTAGGCTTATGTTTTTTTAGTATGTACTAGGGGTATTTAAATCAATTCGAATTGAACTGTTAAGGGTTAAATCGATCTGAATCATTTTTTCGGTTCGATTCGATTAAAATAAGGTAGTTCGAATTGGAACCGATATGGATCTACCCACTCAAATCGATTCAAAATCGATTAATCTGATTTGATTAACTAATTTATAATTTTAAATAATTTAAATATATATATATTTTTTTCAAATGAGCAGGTTTAATTCAATTGAATCAAATCAAAATTTTGATTCAGTTGTGCGACACAACAAGATTTGTAAAATTGAGCTCATGTCATTTGTAAAATTGGGTCTTTGGGCTAGTTTGATTAATCGGTTTGAACCGGTTAAGAGCAAACTCAACTGTATTGATATCTCTTAAATTAAAATCAGTTCGGTTCGGTTCGAATCGGTTAACCAAATTAATAAAAGGTACCCTCGATCCAAAACTATTTATAGTCTTTAAAACTGAACCGTTGGTGAATCGATCCTAACCCAATCGGTTTTGAACAGGTTCAGTTCCGATTTGATTCAGTTTTCCGATTCAATTTGAACATCCCTAGTGTATCCATGTCTTTAATCATTAGATGTTTGCTCTTTGATTATTGTTTTGTGTTTTTATACAGGATTTAAGAACATATGCATAATATAAGTGAAGAAAACTATAAAGAAGCTCTCGAAGCCTCATTTAAGGTGTTAATTTCTCGAGGAATTAGTAAGTTTTTGTGTGAAACATTTGCAATTTAATTTATCAAACGAATTATGTAAGTTGTAGCTTTATGGTTCAGTTCCCCTCACCATGGTGTAGATGATACATCTGGTAGAGCTATAAAATGTCTTTCGTTTCAGTCTTGAGATGAATAACTTGTGTACTTGTTGATCATCGACTACTGTAGCATAAGTCTCTACATGGAAATAGCATAGCATAGCAGAATCATTATTGGAATCCCATGGATGTTTTGATATATTTTCTTTGAATATAAATTTTGTACTGGCAGTTATACGGAATTAACAATTATTATGATAGAATCATCACCAGAATCTGATAAATATGCTTTCTATGGAACATTGCATGTGTTCCATTTGATGCTGCAATAAACTAAAGAGACGACTGTCTCATAGGTTTGTCTTCACGAATATGAAGGGTAATAGAATTAGTGCTACAATTGAGATGTAAGGTTCTGAGCTGCTTCAAATTGTGAATGATAGATCTGTTGAAGTTGATTCAAGATCCTCAAATGTATTAATATGTTTACATGTCTTTGAGGGAGTTTTCCTTTAAGGTATATATGTATACTGGGGATTCATAATATACATACAATCAAACAAGTGATCACTTTTTACAAATCCTAAAATTATTTGATGCATCAAAATATGTATTGAGATATTGTAGCATCAGCCTTTTTTTTTTTAACTAGCTGTTCTTTTTTATTGTTTGTGTACCGCTTTGATGTAGAAAGAAGATAATAATAGCCTTATGGTGACTTTGATTCTTTTTTGCTTGATGCATATATAGTTTCTCTTTTTAACTGCCTCTGATAATTTGGAATTCGGCATAAAGGAACAATAATCATTATCGGAACCAATTACACTATGTATTATTAGTTCAATTTTATCAAAATTGTGGTTATTTCCTTTTTGCTAGATAACATCAATTTTGTGTGCTTTGATCTTTAACCAGCAGTTGCAGTTCTAAGTTATAAATAGTAAGAACACACGATTTTTTTTTTTTTTTGTTGCAGCATAATTTTAGCATCCATAAATAAATACTTTTAGTTGACAGAGAGACATGTAAGAGGAGAAGAGTCCCTGTGATTCTTGTGTTTGTTCTGATGTGATTACTGTTTCTAATGAAAAGCAGCATGTGAGAAATTAGTAACTATGAATTAAGTTATAGAACATCTGAAATACTTTGAATTTGTTTAATAAATTGATTTTTTTTAATATCTACCTTCCAACTTTAAAAATAGCTCTAAAATTTAACAAATCCCTTAAGAATTTGGAAATATTTGTTTTTCCGCTGTTGTCAATACTTTAATTACTGCTGAATTTGAAAAAAAATGAATTTTTTTATTGCTTTCATATGGTAATATGAATTATAAAATACAATTTTAAATATCTAAATTATTTTATTGCTTTTATCTTGTGTATTTCAATATTTGTAATGGTCAGATGAATTTTTGATATCTATCCTTCCTACTTTAAAAAAAAAAACATATTTGTTCCACTAAATTTTAATAATCTTTTTAAATATTTAAATATTTTATATACGTCACTATCCTTTTATACTATTATTATGTAAACCATTATTGAAAATTGACATAGTCCGCTTTTAAAAAATGACATGGTTCCATAAACTTGAATTAATCGCCCTCGGTTATCATCGAATTTGTAGATATATTAAAATTTTAAAAATGTCTATCGATTATTTGATCACTTATATATTTTGATGGTTTAGTTAGTAGTAATACGAACTTAAGTTTTAACATTATTATACTAATAATCAGTTTTAAATTATAAGTTTTAACATGATGATCATGGGCAATTCAATGAGAAAACATCATAATCATCTCGGAAGTGTCTATTAAAAAATTACTAGATTTTCATAATGGATAGACAAAGTAGCGTCGAGCCATAGTCGAACTCAATCGTTTGAACATTTGTATGCTATGCATTCTTTCCAACTTGCTTGCACTTGTGGTGCCTCTCATGCGAAGGGTTGATAATTCTTTTAAATGCTAATCTTGGATGCTTATTTCTCTGAGCAACTCCTTTCTTTACATCTCAACGTATGTTTCCCCTAAACGATAACATGTGTTGGCTGCCCTCAATGTAGCCTCACTAGGTCCTTTACATTTGCATGTCAAGTGTTTCTAAGTATACTTATCCCGCTCTAACAGTATCAGTCATGCACTTAGTTAGTTTTGCCTAAATCTTGCGGCATCCTTGTGTGCCCATCCGTAAAGAGTCGATCTCCCTAAAACATCTTATGGTCTCTTAAAGACCTACAAAAGAGAATACGGGTTAAAGAAGTATTTAACTCGATATTCATAAACAACCATTTCAGTAAACACTTGATAAGCAATTGAAATTACAAATATGGATTTTGCCATCTCTAAACAGTTGCACGACAAAGTGTCTAAGATAATCCGTCATAGACCCAAAGTTCCCGCAAGTTCCCACATGACACTATTGCGGAACAACGTAGTGAACCAATACAATATCCTAAAGGCCTATCTAACCATGTGCCACATTGCTAGCTCTTAGATATTGTATTGGTTGATATTTGGCATCATTCTACAAATCTAGAAATCTCTGGTTGCTTGGATGGTATATTTCTTGACAGTTTTGCCTCTGTATGACAACTATATACGGCCTGCGTTTATAAGCCTGAAACGATCATAAAAACCAACTAAACTGGGATTGTTCAGATCCAAAAAACACGAACATATATAAATATTATATCAAACATTATGTTTACAGTTTTGTTCAGATCGAAAAAATCAAACTACTATAAATCAATTTATATTTTTTTATTTATGATTATTTACTTATTATCATTCGCTTGTCAAACCTTATTCGTACTCAATATTAATTAATCATATTTTAATTTTTCAATCGATCTTTAAAATTTATTATAATAAATTCAATTTACTCTCAGTGTCATTATCCGAATAAATTCAATTCACATCAAAATTTAACTCAGTTTTCATTCTCCTCCTCTCTTCGTACTTTAATAAAACTTTCACACTATGACATGTTCTTGAAAAAGATTGTATTGATTTTTTGTTTTAAAATATTTACGATATTTATATCGAAATTAATATTTTTGAAAAAGACATGTAAGTTTATTATTGAAAAAGATACGTAAGCGAATGTATTACAGTTTATTTTCGTTGCATTTTTTTTATTTTATAATAAATTTAAGATCATTTTATATTAATATTAATACGTAAGTTTCAGTTTGTTTTTGAAACGAATGGATGTACATGGAAATGAAGGACACTGTTTAAGCAGCACGTTTGTGGTCTTCAATCAATCTTTTTTCTTTATGATTCAGCATTAAGCAAATACCATTAAGCTGATTCTCAACCATCCAGTATGAATGAATGAATGCATGATACTGTTATCACAGACAGGAGATGGACAGACAATACCATCCAACCCAACGGCACATCATCATCCCTATAATTGGATACAACTGTTTTGCTAATAGCTGCACGAGAATGATCTAAAAGGCATAATGAATAGAACATTAATCATGCATAACAAACAAACATAGTATCATGATTCAACCAATGGGTGAAATTTTAAACCTTAGAACTTCAGCAAGCTACTCATAAGTTTGTGCCAAGCCGAGGATTGTATCGCAAATGCCAATGCCATGGATACAAGGAGAAGTTGGGGACCGAAAAAGAATATGGTCCAAATACATCGCGAAGCATCTGTTGAAACAAAGCCAAAATACTTGTATTCACAAGAAAATCACAACTACAAGACCAACACCTGTGACTTGTGATCGATTCCATTGAACATGAACGTCCCCTTTAATGGGACAAATTGTTTTGTGACAAGCTGAAAGAAAAGCCATGAAAACAAGTGAGTGCTCTTTTCACATATTATCTATCGTACCAAGAACATCTAAATCCACAAACCTTAATTACTTCTTGAGAAGCTACTCCCCCTATGAAAGCAGCAACCGGATGAAGCTCTGCCCCTCCAAATCTGCACATTTCAGTGACCAGATCCTCAGATAATGTTGGTCCATTTAATCCCAATTCGCTTAGGATACCAACTGCAATGAGCTTCAGTCGTGAAATCTCCTCATTTAGTCCACTGCAAGATATGAACTTACAACTGTAAGCCACTCTGCTGGATTAATTACAGAATTGCAAGTATCTGACAAATACAGAATGATAAGGTTACTGACACACCTATCAAAAATCCCAGGAAGTCTATTACAATTGGCAGCAAACCGGTCAACAGCTCGAAGCAAGATGTAGAAGCCGACAGCATAACTGCAAAATGCAAATTACTCCTCAAAAAACACATCCTGCTAACACACCAACACAAGTAATTAAATTATTGATATTCCATATATCATCAGCAATTTTTATCCCTCACAACATTCTCCGTTGTGGATTTTAGATAGCCAAGAAGAATGCTTATAAAAGGATATGCAAATTAACATTCCTGGTGGAATAATGCAATCAAATAGAACTTGGTAATACCAACAAAGATACGATCTGAAACAAAACTGAATGCATAACGACAATAGAAAACAAAACATCTTGAATTATAGTATATCCACACATCTCCACTCCCATTAGTCAATCGTTTCAAACATAATGGTTGTTAAGGCTGATCAGACAGTTCCACCGTTGGGAGCCATTCAATTACCAGAAGTTCCTAGTTTAAAATTGTTAATTTATCTTTCTTTTGAAGAAAAACCAACAGAGTGGCAAACATAGCTACATAAAAGATGCAATGGTTGGTGAAATTAAAGCATTATTTTTATGCTATATCAAAGTTGATGTTGCAACTTACCAAAAAAAGTTGATGTTGCAAAAATATAGGAAGAGCATCAAGAAAAACTGTTGGCAAGCAAAAGTTCAAGTTAACGATGAACAAAAAAGAACTCTTAGAAAATGGATCAAGGCCATCTTTGTTATTAGAAGAAAGTTAATCATCAAGAAATACTTCCTATAAACATGATCCTAAAATGATAGTAAAGCAGTGGATAATTCCACCTATGGATATTCATGGAAATATAATCTACTTACAGTAATTGAATAAAAAGTACCAAGTATGGAAAGAAAGATGGATAAGAGCAAACAAGAAATTAACTCATTAAAATTTTGAGGTGAAAAGACATTTCTACACAAGATGAAGAAAAGAAAAGAGAAATCAAGTATGGGCTAAAATCCATTGGCAAAAACTTCAATATTTTTTGAAGCAATAGCAAAGGTTGTTTCCAAATCAATAAGTTTTCACTTCCAATATAGTGTAACCACCAGATATTTGAGTAACTATCATAGAATACTTGAGTGTCATTACTTCCCAGCTTGTACAGTTGCATTTCTGTAAAACCCAAGTTTAACGAATTATTCTCCTCGAACTTGATTAGGAAAAAAAAATCCCAGAGCAGCAGATTGTCCTGGGTTTTGACTTGCAACAAAATAATACATATAGCTCCAACTATTTAGAGGTGGCTACGTAGATCTTCTCTTGCCACTGCAGACAGATCACAAGTCAACTAATTTTATTGTTATTTCCAACTAGATTTTCTTAAGTCTTCCCCTATCCTTGTGCTACACTACCAGTCCTAAACTACTTGTGGCCAAAGGTCTCCTCTGAACTTCTAGAAAATTTGTGTAGAGTTTGGCTCACAAAAAATAGTAATTAACAAATGAATAATAATATAAAGTTTCTCATCAATACCATGTGTTCGAAATTATTGTGAAAAATATCATAGCATCTCACCTATAGTCCTCATCATTTAAGCACTTCTGCAACTCTGGTAGACAAGGAGATGTAAACTCATCCTCGATGTGCCGATACCTGCATATCTGTGAAGTAGGCAATATTGACGGATAAGATGAAGCCAGAAAACAGAACCATAATTCACAAGCTTCTTCTTCAAAGCAGATAAGACTAAATTTATTTATGGTCATAATCAAAAGAGAAAGCAAACTAGAGGTGTAGTTCAAGTTAATGAACAATAGATAAATATTAGGGACATATGCAGCATTATATAGGCAATTAAACAGAACAGCTAGATACAAGGTCACAATTTGAGTCTTTAAGGAACATACAGTGATTTTTCTAGCATTTTTACAGAAGTTCTTAACATATGCCTTTGAAATAGCATCAGGATCTCTTCCAACCCTCTTTAGAATGTTCTTCACTCGCTGCTCCATTGCAAGACAATCAGACTCAGCTTTAGCTTGATAGATTTTTTGCAGGATGACATAGCATCTAGACCATAAAATGGAAAATACATCAGCAAAGAAGGGTATTATTAAATAAAAATGATAGTAATGTTCATCACTAACTCAGTTGACGATGTCATATCAGGTATTGATCCCTCAAGAGGTGGCTCTCCATCACCTTCATTCTCAATAAACTCCTATAAATAAGAAAACAAAGAAAATAATGAAGTGGCATATTGCAGTACGATAAAGGTTAAGGATCCTAAAATTCCGAAATGGAACAATATTTGCTTTGAATCAGTGATCTTAAATTCATACAATCGTCATTTTAGATGGAAGTTTCACTTGGTCTTAATATAAACAGATTCGGATTCATATAGACCAATCACCTTAATTAATCAGATGATGAATCTGGGAACTATTTACAGACTAGCAAATGAAGAAACCTTCTTTGTGGAGAAGCAGCAAAATCTCCACCAATATCTACAGTGATTGATGTTTCATGGCTAAAAGGTCCTTTACAGTAGCACAGCGTACCAGAAAGCACCCAATTATAATTATACATATCAAACCATAAAACCTTCAATAAACTAGGCCACTGCAGTACTGACTTCGCAAAAGATCTTCAATTTTCAATTCAAGAACCTAAGTTGTTCACTCACCACCCATTTGTTCTAATGATAGAATTAAAAATGATCTTTAGCCATCATGTTACACCCATGGATCCCATATGACAACATAAGATGGTGCCAGAAAAATGACATTATACAGTCTCTCTCCTTTTAAATTAAATAGTCAGATTCTGACATCCTTAATGCATCACACAATGTTCTTTTCTACTTGAATGTATCATGCACATTATGATGCCACTTATATTGCAGGCAGATGAAAAATAGATGATCCAATCTGCTAATGAAAACATGACCATCTAGCAGGATATAAACCAACTTTTGTACTTGAATTTCCAGAAAGATTTGACTCCATATACTTCGACTATGTTCTAGTTCCTGTGATTTATGTAACCAGTTGTTTTCTCTTCCGTTTCAACCAACGACATAGGTCGACAAAATCCTATATAAATTATGAAGACCATCTAGATAACGCAGTAATTAAATCAAAATGCAAAATTTTAATCATAACTCTATAACATCAAATAGTGTCAATTTTCTGTCTCATTATCTTAATTTCACCTGCACATACATGATTTCTCTGTTTGTTATGCTAGTTCTTCCTGAACAAATATGACCAAGTATCCAGATAAAAGGGACTCGAAGTATACATGAGAGTACCTACATTAGGTTACCATAATAGTCAAAAGAGTCTTATCTGGAAACCAAAGTGGATTTCTTACAGTTTGCAGTACGAACAGTAAAGAGACATCCTTTCAGCGATCTAATTATAAAAGGCTGCTTCATTTTCGAGACAGAAATATCAATTGCATGAATTACAAAACTTTAATGCAAGAATCAGAGTTTTGCTCAGAAAACACACAGCAAAAATGTATTAACCTTCAGAGCTGCAACCAAAACCCAGAAATCTGAGGATTTTGAATCAACTTCAGTAGCACTATCATTCACGATTTGAAGCAGATCAGAACCTAGCAGCATGACAAAGGACAAGCATTCATAATCATCTCAATTATAGCAGTAATTCTATTACCATTCATAATCATGAAGCAAGACCTATGATAATAGTCTATGACAATCAGCGAAGGCATCATTATCTAGAGGCATCGCCTCTTTAGTTAATTGCAGCATCAAATGGAACATGTTTCATAGAAAACAAATTAAGCATATTTATCAATTCTCATAATAATTCCATCATATAAAAATTTGTTAATTCCATGTAGATGCTAGTACAGAGTTTAAATTCAAAGAAAATATATCAAATATCCATCAGATCCAAATAATGCTTCTATCATACAACTATGATATTTCCATGTAACTGCTAGTAAAGAACTCAAACCATCAAAATTTAAGACTTATGCTACAGTAGTGTAGTGATTGATCAACAAGAACACTGATTATTAGTCTCAACTCTCAAGACTGAAGGGAAAGACATTTCATAGTTCTACCAGATATATCATCTACCTTAATGAAGAGAACTGGACCATAAAGTTAGAACTTACATAATTCATTTGATAAATAGAAGTATAAATGTTTCACACAGAAACTTACTTATTCCTCGAGAAATTGACACCTTGAATGAGGCTTCAAGAGCTTCTTTATAGTTTTCTTCATCCATATTAAGCATATGGGCTTTTATGAAGTCCTATATAAAAAGAAGAGAACAATAATCAAAGAGTAAACATCTAATTACTAAGATGCATACAAACAAGAGAAACATAAGACTACAGAAATCAAATCCTGCACCTTAAAATCTCTCTTTTCTTGTCTAGTAGACGGCAAGCATCCATCATGTTCTTTGGCCCATTTTTCTGCAAGGTTAATAAGAATAACTACATATGGTGTATGTTTGTGTATAACAGGATCTGTCACACTTAAGTCAATTGTTTTTGAGAACCTGCAGAAATTATACAATCATAAGAACTTAGCAGACTTGTTCAACCAACACAATGGTTATCCACGTTTATCATCAGATCTCAAATCAAACAAAGAGAAAGGTCTCATAATCATTATAAGTGAACATAGAGAAACTTGAATACAGTTCAGTCGTCCATATTAGTTAATTTGATACTAATGTTTTTTTAAAAAGGCATAAAAGTACTTACTCTATGAGCTCAGGCCAAGGATTGTGAAGACGGAGGTCATCTAGAAAATGATCAGGTTTTGACTCAATTATGGTGTGTTCCTGTCAATTTTAGGAGGAGAAATTCCTTGGTCATCCAACAAAAATACTTATGTGAATCAAAAACAGATCTGTAGGTACTTAGCAAAGGAAAGGAAGTCTGGTCTGTGGCCATCTATATACGTTTTAGGTACCTTCATGCTTATTCTAACCATTCCTGTAAGACCATAAGACCGAGCAATGACCAACATGATATTTGCTTCCCTACAGATCTTATCCAGCTTTATTAATGAAGTTTCCATTAGCTGCCTTGCAAAAAATAAAACATAGCATCAATAACAACCATAAAAGATTCTCATAATTGACCTAAAAAATACTGTACGTAAAAGGTAACATCGAGCACAATTCATAAAGTTTAAAGTACAGAGTAAATTATATGAAATGACAGGGATGTACAAACCAAAATAGCCTTCCCTTGAAGTAGCACAGTGTTAACCAAACAAGAAGGAAATAAAAGCTACAAATATATAGACTGCTCCCTATTAGAAGTATAATTATGTTCTTAAATATTTCTTGATGCCCGACAATCACCATGTCAGATTTAAGAGAAATTTAAGATGTAAAATTGCTTATACAATTCGCTAGTTTCACAATCAGACATTGCTATACAGATAGGGTGGACCTACTTCCTAAGTCCCACAAACACGATAAACTCCTATCACCTTGAATTGGAAGAGATCATACAGATTCCAATTCCACAACTTTGGCTCAATCTTGAGCATCTCAATGCAAACTGAGCAGTTCAAGGTGAAAACAAGTTATGTCAAAGCGATCCTGACCTATCCAAAAAATTGTCACTACTCCATGCAAACTAAATATCAAGTCATATCACAAAGGACCACACCCATAAAAGTTTCTTTTTGCTTAGTTACAGCCTTTCCATAACTCGTATGTTTTGCTTCAACAAAATATTCTCTAAACGTAAGTCCACATACCTCAATCCTTACAATGGTATCTTTTGAAACTGTTGTAATGATATACAATATTGGGCTTATACATCCTTCTAGGAAATTTGTAACTAGTAAACACACTGTAAAATTGATGAAAGATCCTTTGAGGCTTCTCTATAATTAATAAACATATATAGCTTATACAGTCTCTAGATCGTTTACAATTTCTTTGTGCACTCATACTGGATGAATTTCCGAGGCATATCCAAGATAAACTACATTTCTATGTGTTATTTGTTGAGAATAATTTCTGAATAATGAGATTCTAGTTTGCATTAAGTCTAGACTCGAGCTATCAACTTCAAGGTTAAGTGAACCCATAAAGTGTGCAAGCTGACTGGTACTTGAGCATCCACAAAGAATCTTAAAAGCATACCTGGGTTGCTATCACTAAGGTAAATTCAGCAAAAAAAGAAGGATTATTCTCTATTAAATCTTCTGGAGCCTCCTCCACGAACTTAGCTTTAACAGCATCATTTAACTCTAGCAGAAATGAGCATACACATTTTGCCTTTGGTTGTCCAAGCTTATCTTCATCCACTGTTATATAAATGCGTTAGGACATCCAAATGAAACTGAAGAGGAAGCAACATGCAACAATACATGCATACATACATAAAAAATTATTTCCAAGATCATGTATTTCAACTTTGGACCCATCAACAACTGTTATACTCCCAATGCCACCAAGAACTAGATTCTTCAAAGCTTCAGAACCAGTAGGGCCACAATTAAGCAAGCATATGTTAGCATTCTCCAATGCTGTTTGCCCTTGTTCTCCCCAGATCCTGTCGTTTTCCAAAAAAATAGGAGAAAGAAACAAGCAACAAAATGTTAAAACTCACAAAAAACAATTAACGAAATGCAAGAACTCGAACAAAGCAGACTAAGGTTATCTAACACTATAAGCTTAATATCTCAAACAGCTAATTCAGGAAAAAGATATTTGCTTATATGAAGAAGAGTTTAATGGTTGAGAATCAGCAATCCATGGATCTTAGAATGTTCAATTTGTACTTCCTCTTGAGGCAGTCATGCACCTATATTCCCAACTTTTAGAGCATGCTAGCAAAGCTACATGAAGATAAACATGCACGTCATAATAATGGTCTACAAAAGACTACAAATCAAGCAGAGAAGCATGTCAGGCCTTTAATACAACAACCAAGGTACTAAAATTAGATAACAACTAATACCAAGAAAATACTGGACACCGGCAACAAAAACTTTATGGAATAATTTAATTAGTAATGGATCTCTAATATATTTTAACACCAACTAGATTAAATATGAAGCAAAACAAGGGAATGGATCACAAATTGCTTGTATGTGCACTAATTAGGCATGTTACACATGAGTTAGTTTGGCTTAGGTTAATCTAAACAACTACAGTTTAATCCTACACTGAAAGTGTGAGAAGAACTAAATTGATTAAAAAACTTAATAGTGTACTGTCATTAATTGGACTTGCATTTCGGGTCAATTTTGGATCACGTGATTCTAGACATCTCAAGTTAATGAGTTGTTATCCAATGAGTAAGGTCATAACAAATTGTATTAGAGTGAACCTAGAATAGGGCTCGATGAGGGGCTCAAGTAGAGAAGGATCATCCATGGGCTAGAGGCACATCACGCTTGAGACCACCATTTTGACTATGTCCACCATGTTAGGGTTTGGTTATGAGCTATATTAGTATTAGTTCTTAACTGAGGATGTCAAACCTTAAGTGAGAGAAATTGTAAGGACTGAAAGTTTAGTCACACATTAGAAGTGGGAGAAGAATCAAATTAGTTTATAAAGACACGATAAGTGTATGATTAGTAAGTTAGGCTTAAGCATTTCTAGCAATGTGGTTCTAGGTCCATCAAATTAATTGGTCAGTTGTCCGATCGAGTCAAGCCATAAAAGTTAGGTTTGAGAGTAGGATTAAGACAATTTGAGTTGGTTGAGGTCAAAGAAGTAGTTCAAGGGTTTAAGGGTGATATTCATTCTTCTGCTCTGGTTTAGGATTGGTCAAGGTACCTATTAACGCTCTGAATCCTATTATAAGAATAAATTAGATCGGAGAAGCCAGGAACTCGTTAGGAATCACCTCCTGATAACTGAGCTGCACGTGGTGTTGCAATATATTCTTTTCCACTGCTATTTTTTGTCTTCCCAACTCTCTTGCTCTCTCACATAACTGAGCTGCTGCAATCCGTGTTTCCCCTAACTATTTAATCGACAACACAAAAACCCTTTTCTAGCTTTCCCTCTTCTTATGTGGTTCTCGGGATCCAGGAACCAGGTTTCCACTTATACGTAACAAGAAACAGACAAAAATAGTTCCAACAATACATGGATCTCGGCAACTTCAAATCCTTTGCCTACCACGACATTTTCTTGTGCATCAACTCAGCAATGAACATAGACAATGCCGCAGACAACTTCGACAGAAAAGCACCAATGATGAGACCTATCCAAACAACTTGATGATGATCCTCTAAAGTCTAAACCCTAATTCACTGACAATGACAACAATCAAGAAACAGGTTCTCCAAACGGGGGGAGAGGGACAGAAAGGCAAGATGAGGTGAGACCCCGGTGTTACCTGAGCTGGCGATCGTACTTGGTCTTCTTCATCTCGGCAGCGACAGTAGCCATCGTCTAGAGCTTTCTTTGCCGTCTCTCTCTTTTGGGGTTTCTGCAGGTGTTAGTCTAAGGGTGGTGAAGGCTGCTTTTTGTGCCTGCACGTGCAATGAGCGTGCATACATAAATGTCTAATATTATTACTAAGAATAAAATGAGAGGAATTTGTTGCTTTATTTTATATATATAATATTATTACTAAGAATAAAATGAGAGGAAATTGTTGCTTTATATATATATATATATATATATATATATATATATATATATATAGAAAAAGTGAGAATTAGTATTAGGATGAGAGAGAACAAAAACCAAAGTAAAACCTAAGAAGATTTTACTTGAGACCATAAATAATAATTTAAATATTTTAAATTATGTAATCAGTGGAGGCAAAAGAAACATAACTGATTTTAAATAGTTGGGATAATTAAATGCATATTTATTCAATTGGTCTCTTTGCGAGCTCGTTTGTAATTATCTTTTTTTTTTTTTTTGTTAATGAGTTTGATGAGTCGAATATGTCAATTAGTTTAGAAAAGACTTACAAATACCATTGGAAAGGGAAAAAAAAAAGTTATAAATACAAAAGTATCTTGATGCTTATTAACAAGGTTTTAGGAATTCAAGCCTGATGGGTTAACTAAAGGTTTAAGCTGAGATAATACTTTTATACCAGAGTCCTCTCAATATGTTTAAATATTAAATCAATTTTAATACTAAATGTCATGATCCAAGACTAAATAGTCTATTAATTTTGTTTAACTTAAACCATTGATCAAAATATTTAAGTTGAAGTTTATAATAGTATATTCATATAAATTAATCATAATTTTATTTATTTTTTATATGTGACTAATCAAGGTATTATAATAAATATAATTGAGATCCTCCAACCAAGTAGATAAAGATGGGAAGGTCAAAGGTTTTGATAATTATATAAAATATCATTCATAAAGGTATAAAATGAATTACATTATTTAGATTTATATCGATAAATTATTGATATCAATTATATTTGCAACATCCATATTTTGATGATTTTTTTAGAAAAACCCTGATGTAATAAGTTGGAAGAATTAAAAAAAAAAACTTTTTTTATATAGAGTGCCTTTCATTCCTTTTTTAGAGTGTTTTTTCCATTCTTATTTTCATCCTTTCAACTTGATATGCAAACCATGATTTTAGTCCACTTTGATATAATTTTTTTAAAAAAAATTACTATCTAACAATTAAAAAACAAAATATGACTAAAATGTTAAAAAATAAATAAAAGCCTAAATAATAACAATAAAATTATAATCCAACATTATTATTTTTATATTCTAAAATAAATCATAAAATAAACCAATACAATGTTGGACATTAATAAACCTAACGTAATTGTAGTTGTCTCAAAAATAATTAAAAATTAATTTAGCATTGTTAAAAATAATCTAATCAAGATATTTTAATTTGGAATCTCATAAGTCATTTTATAAACTCTTTACAAATATGTCCTAGGTTATATATTATAAAAACATATTATTTTAAAGTTTTTTATGATATAACCACCCATGTTGATATATTTTTAGAAAAATATATTAAAATAATAAAAATGAGGCGTAAGTAAAAGATTAAACTATAATGTGGAATACAATTAAGCTAGGTTTAAAATAAAAATATATCATAGATTAAAAATAGATTGTGCATATCACTTGATGTTATTATTAAATAGGATATCTTCTCCTATCTCTTTACTTTTTACAAAACTACTATGATTTATTAAATAAAGACTAATTAAGAAGGTGAGAGATCTCCACTCTTTTTACTTTTCACAAAACTACTATGATATGATCATATGATCGATTAAATAAAGACTAATTAGGGAGGTGAGAGAATATATCGTAGATGAGATGATGATCTATAGTAAGTCTTGCCATTATATAAAGTGAGACCAAATAGTAAAATTAGATAATTAGGAGAGTCTCTCCCTTCCATAATTCAATTGAGTATTTGATATGGAATATTTCTATTCATAATCCTTTTTTTTATTTTTTATAATATCATCTTAAGAACTTTTAATATTTATAAAATATCACTTTATAAATGGACACAAATGAGCTCATCATCTTTTCCTTTCTTTCTTATCTTAATCACAGGTAGTGAGTAATGAGTCATGTGGAGTGTATGAGCGAAGTTGAGTGGCAAGCAACATTAATAATGTCGAATGGGCATAAATGCCCTAATCATAAGAGGCAAGCATCATCCAACTAATGTAATTGCTCTCATCAACTTTCCATAATCGCAAGCGATGAATGATGTCGATGATGAGTGACGGGGAGCAATACCAAGCAACTAGGGTTTGGTAGATGACATAAGAGGTTCTTAGAATAATGGTATAATTTGGTAATTAAGTGGATGTAAAAAATAAAATTATATTTTATTGTTTTTAGAGCCTTTAATTATAAGTTTATTAACACATCTCATCGTTGAGTTATTGGACCACATAAATTTAACATTATCTCACTTTATTCCCTGATGAGTGAGATATAAAATAAAATTTTAATAATGTATTATAATATTATGAGTTTAGATTATGTCTTGCCATTTATCTTTAAAAAATATATAAATAAAATTTTAAAATCATAATAAATTAAATTAAATTAAAATTTTAAAAATCATCATAATACTATATTAATGGTATTTGCTTAATGATAGGTGACAGTTAATGCTTAGTAAATGGCATTAATGCTTAATGGCATTTTATTAATATAGTAATTCATTATTAATGTAGAATAAGAGTATATTAATGCTTAATAAATGATATAATGAAGAAATTAAGGCATAACACGTGTTGGGAAATCTCATAACGGTATCTTATGTAGCAAAAATTAAAAAGAAAATTACAATTTTCAAAATCAAGTGTGCGAGAAAAATCGTAAAATAAAAAATGATACATATCATGTGAGAAGTGTTACCTAGGAAATCATATATCCCTAAAATTTTTAGATCTTATGGAGAAGATGAAGAAGAACTTGCATGCTCCTCTCTAGCAGTGATCCACACGATAGACGCGGCTATAATGCCCTTTAGATCGTTATAGGATCTCCCTCTCTATGTATACCACAAGATTGTTGAAGCCAAGGAGAAAAGGAGGTTGAAGAGAATAAGAGGGGTGACCACCAAATGCTCTAGCCTATGAACATTAAGATTCCTCTTATTTATAGATGTGCATGCAGCTTAACCCTTAATGGATCTTTCATTTATTGGGTATTGGATCTCTATCCAATTACTCAATCTTATTGGATTTCATCTATATGGTCCAAACTAGAAGCTTCGTGGATATCTCATATATGCACATCTACTCGTCGCAATATCCACCATATGTATTTGACCCTCTAGGCCCGATATCGAGTTGGTTGTGAGTCGCTCCTATCAGAACTCATCCCGACTTAGAATTTTTTTCTAATATAATGAATCATTATCTCCATAATAATTCACTCGACTCATTAACTATGGACGTACTAGACAACTACGTCATAGTCCCCAGATGATATAGGAGATCTAGTTCATCGGATTTGTCTGTTCATATTTAACATGTATCTATGGTTCCTTTCTATCTAATATCACAGAGACCGTATATTGGGTATGGTAATGTCAGGCTCATATGGAATCTTGTTCAAGTCTTACTTTAATCGAATTCCTCTAGAGAACTCATTCTTTCTCAATTCGAACGACCCTAACGAGAGATTTTGTTTGAGGAAGCATATACGGGATATTTCTTTCATAATACTGAGAATGAATAAACCTCTATTAACACTCAATTGCCTTTATAAGGTTAGTTGTCATTTCCGATAATTGATTGTACCATATCTGAAACTTCCAAACATGTAAGTTCAGCGTCAAAAAATAGAGCACTCATACAATACATATCTGGTGTCTCAAGTCTAAGGACCAGATATATAATTGAGACTACGGAATCATTATCTAACGTTAGGTATCATTAACTATCCAGTATTCTATAAGCGGATCAATTAGTAAACTTATTTTCTAATAAACACTTGCATTGTATCTCTAATGTTCTCACATAAGCAACTATGAGACTAGTTGTCTCCATCATATGGACAAGTATACAACACATCTATTTATCCGATTATCTCAATGTTCCTCTCGAGTAACATATGATCGGGATAATTTAAGATCTATGTTTAAAAATGAATCAATCTCATTATCGTTATCTCTTCATGATACAATTCACGTTGTACAAATCCAAAAACATCACAATATACATCCAAATACTATAATAAAATTCCAGTTATAATAAGTAAAGAGATTGTCGCATCGTGTCATAAGTATCATCACTTTCGTGATTGACTTGTAGGGAAATTATAACTAATAGCACGTGATAAGTAAAGCATGTGAATGCTGAGGATCTAATATAAAGGATGGAACACACATATTTATGATTATTTTAGGGTAATTTATAAAAAAATAATTTATAGTAATAAATTTTTAAGAGATGATAGGTTTTTAGGACATAGTAATTTCATATTTGACTTTTACTAAAGTAAGTTTTTTTTAATTTAATCAAAATACTCTTAATAAAATCATAAAAAATATGATGATTATCATTTGACTAAGTTTGATTTCATTTTTTAAGGGTTGAATCTATATTTTTGAGATAAATCAAATATATTGATTCAATTCAACCCTAAATTGGTTCAATTTAATCTAAAATTACCTTTTAATTTCTTTCAGAATTACCTTCCCTCTCCTTGACTTTCGATATTACCACGTCCTCTCCCTCTTCACCACCACCACCTCATTCGCTTCTCATTTTACTTCTATTGTATCCTCATCCTCCTACTCCATCGTATCCTCTCCTCGTTGACTTCGTTATCCTTTCTCTCTCTCGTGGCTTCTTCCTCTATTAAATTGATAGAGTTGAGACACCTTCTTATAAAAAAATAAACAACATATATGTAAAAAGATACTACAAAATTAAATTCATACTCTCTTGAATTTACCAGTTAATAAATAATAGTCCTCATTATGGAACATAATAAATAACGTTCTTAAATTCAAAACAAAGAAAATATAAAATAA